CTCAACTCTGCAAGTATACTTACTTATTATCTCAGATGGAAGTGTGTGGATGCATCTGGAACCACATCTGCTGTGTGGGAGGCTCACACTGTGGTCAGAACAGTAGGTCAGTGTGGTCAGAAGAGGACATAAGAGTACAGGAATAAGCTTCCGTGAGGATGTGAATCCTAAGTGTGGAAGAACCCCCTGAAGAGCCAGTTCCACAATGTGCTTAAGCTTGTGACGTGGGTGAAGGACAACAACACGGCTTTTAAAATGATTAGCAGAGCAAGAGTAGGAGAGGTTAAGCGTGACAGAGAGACGTGATGGTGTGGGTTTAACATTTGATATGCAAAGCAGAGATCTGCTCAGTCAAGGAGAAAGAGCTTTTGGTTGAGGGGGTAGAATAAGCATGGTCCAGAGGGAAGATGAGCCCCAGGTAGGCGAGTAGATAAGAATGGGGTGCACGAGTGAGTGCAAGAGTCTACATCTGCAGGGAGAAAGGTAGCCACTGAGATTGAATCCCTACTGATGATTTCTGAGATCTACAATGAATGGGTAAGATGGTGAAGGGCCAGAGACAGCCCCGCAGGGAGCTGGTTTGCCCAGTGAGGAAGAAGGTGCAGGTGTAAATGATAAGCTGGTCGTCTTGTTAGCTGTGGCAGGCAACGTTGTGGTGACTCACAAGCCCTGGGAATGGAAAATAGGCTGATGAATGTGTAGCTAAAAGTTAACCCAAACTAATTTTTTTTTTTTGGTTGTCAACAGATGATTATATTCATACCTGTTTTTTAGTTTGACTTCTGACAAAATCATGATACCTTTTGGAGAACATGGAAAGTGAGTGTGGCTGACCCTCTAGTTAGGTTTATTTATAACTAGTCAAATGGCCTCCTCAAAAAGGTAGCTGCTGATCATTATATTCTTGAGGCCAGAAAACCTATTTTGAGTCTTCTGCTATAACTGCAATACCAGATGTTGGTGTTTACTAATTATATGAGAGAATATCTACACAAACTAACAGCACCCTCTTAGGAGAAGGTCTCTATTGGAATACCACAGGGCTTCCTTCAAGTTCCAAAAGTTTAGGTAAAGCTTTGGATCCAGAGAGATTGGGAAACACAAACTCTGTGCCCAAGTTAACAGAATGAAATTCAGTTAGTAAAATTCTTCACTTGGATCTTTAAGGAAATAAGTCCCCGGCCCGCCCTGGGATGGTAGAGAGCACACACACAGTCAAAGAAGTGTAGGATGGAGGGGATGTGGCTTTGCAGCATAAATTAAAAAAAAAAAAAAAAAAAAAAGATTTAGGCCGCTTTCGCATAGACTGAACACCGTAAACCAAGTTGACATTGCGGTTTGGGGGTGCAGAGGCCTGAGCATATACTCTCTCCACGTTTACAGTTCCACGGGCTTCTTATCGCAGAACTGCCGTTAGCATCTTTATGTTGTTCCCAGGGTCAGTCCCTTGTTACTGCTTCGGTCTACAAGTTGAGATTAATTTTCCTAAGATTAAAATAACACCAGTATTTGTGTCTTACTCCAACCCCGGCGCATGTGAATGGAATATTCAGGTACTTGGGAGTGACCCTTGCTACCTTCCAAGACCTGGCCTTCCCTTTCCTCTCGAGCCTTACCTGGTTTCCTCCCTCAGTGCTGAGCCGGGTGCTAGAGGCAGACCAGGGCTCTGTGCTCCAGCCTTGCTTTCTCTTGACCTTACCTGAAATACTATTCATTTGACTTTTCACTGTGATTCAAGTTAGAAAGCTTTCACCTGTGGGAAGCTGCTGTAAAGCTCCGCCATAATAGAAACTTTCATTCTAGGGGTATTAATTCTGTTTTAGGGAGATAAACCAGCTCCTGCACTGGGGTTCAAGTTCTTTGAAGCAGTGACTGCGTTTAAGCACCTTTGCTTTCCCCTCCGGGTCACTTTGGGCCCAGTCATAACAACAGCTCACTAAAGAAAGGTATTGGCACCTACCCTGAGCTTGCTGATCCTTGAGAGTCATGGTGCCCCTGTCTCGGCCTGGCCAGGGCAGCCTGGTTGAAGAAGCCATGACATCCTTTCATTTCCCCCTACCCTGTTCTTGATTTCTAAACTCTGCCCAGACTCTTTTCTCCTTCCTTTTGCTGTGAGTTTTTGCACTTAGACTACCCTTGCTTTTCCTTCCTGTCTAGTCTAACCAGCTTGCTTACTCACAAAGCCCACTCACTGTTGTTCTTTTCTGCCTTCTTATCCTCATCCATCTTTCTCAAATACAATTCTCTCTTCCAGCCCCCTCTCCTCTGTCAGCCTCAGGAATGGAGAATGGTAATGCTAGCAGAAATGTTTTAATAAATGGAGGTGGACGGGGACTCTGTATGGAAGGGTAATTCACGGTGGTGTCTTTCAAAGCAGATGAAAGCCTTTGCCTTGTTTTCATTCTGTTCAGAAGGATCGCAAGCTGAATCCTCATCCTGCTACAGGGAAGTAACTGAGTTAGATGGCTTCTGTCTAATCAAATTATTTTATTCAAACATTTGAAACTGTTTTGGGGTCAAGAAAACATAGGTTGACACTAAGCTCCGTGGTAGCCAAGGTTGGGGAGAAATTCTGAACTGCAGTATGTCTGCTTTGATAAATTTCATAGACTTATGCTATGGGTCACAGTATAGCTTGTTCTTTCAGTATTAAACTATTTTAATCCTAGTTATAATTCCAAAGAAGGCTGGATTTACTCACCAGCTTGTTCAGCTAGCTTAAAGTGTAGATACCATCCACAATCCTGGTTATTTAAACACAATTCAGAAATCATAAATAGGAATTCAAAAGGAGGGCTCAATTTCACAAGATGAGATTTGATGCCATGAAGAAACCCTCTCAAAAATTTGCCAGAGACCTGTGAGTCCTAAAATATCCTCTGTTTCCTACCAGCCAGATCTGGCAGCTTGAGAGCTATTCTTACAAATAATGACAAATATTTTACCAACTCACAACATGTTGCTTTTTGTTTTGGTATTAATTTTGTTTGTTCATATTTTTAACTAGGAAAGTTAGTATAATAATGTGATGGTCATCCAACAAATAATCAGGAAAAGAATTATTCTCTTACTGAACGTTTTAGCATGTTTCTTGAACACTGGCTATGTGCAAGTTATTATATTGAATGTTTTTGGTAATAAAAATATGAATTGAACTTGATATTGGACCACAAGAATTGAGAGAGCTGAGACATTATAATGCAGCAAGTGCCATAGAATACTTGCTAAAATGCACTGAGAAATGAGGGCTCGGGTGGGATTTGCTGAGTGAGACAAAGAAGGCTTTCTAAAGGAAATGGGATATGAGCTTTGATGACTAGCCAGATGTTAATATGTGCAATGTGGTGTGGAGGGTAAGGGGAATTTAGATGAATGAAACATTATTAACAAAGCCTCAGAAATAGTACAGTTACAAAATACAGGGAACATTGTTAGGTTTTAGTTTTATGTAAATGAAAGGGAGCAGTTACTGATAAAGCTAAATTCCCTGGGTCTGAAATCCCAGATTTAACTCTGCTAGGTAATGGGGAATGTTTATCCATTATTCCACTCTTTAAACAATTTCAGAGCTGTGTTTGAGGATAATTAATCAGATAATTAATCTGTACTCAGCGTAAAAGCTTGACTGGAGGAAGAGAAATTGGAGTTTGGAAGGCCAGCTGGGAGGTTATTATAACGGTCTAGTAAGAGGTACTACGAGCTGCCCTGGGCTGGGAGGGGTAGGATTGGAATGGAGGGTCGAATTGAGAGACATCAGGTAGTGAACATTTCTAGGATTTAGAACCTGATGAGAAGATGAGAGGAAGAAGAAAGGGAGGAGTTAAAGATAATTATGAAGAGTCAAACCTAAGAAGTGACACCATTAAGGAAGTCAGACAAGTCAAGCAGGACTGGAGGAAGGTGGGTTCAGCTTTGCTAATGGTGCATGAATGTACATGTGCTCCCCAGTGGTGAGGCGGAGATGTGAAATGGGAACTCAGGCTACAGTCTGAAAGACAGGCTTGGGATTCATTAGCACAGAGGTAATGGTGGCTGGTGTAGGAGTGGGTGTGAACTCCAAGGGAGGATATAAAGAGAAGACGGCCAAAGATAGGGCTCTCGGGAAGGTGGTCTACATGTAGGTGAGGGAAGATGAGCCAAAATTGAAGTAGTCAGTGAGGTCAGGGAAGAGCCAGACTTAGGATCACAAAAGACTGGAGAAGAGAGATTTTCAAGGAAGGAGGGGTCAGCAGTGTTCATGGACACAGAGAAATAGGGAGGTTGAGAATGGAGTGGGAGAAATGAAATGTGGGAGTTAAGAGTTCACTGGTGACTTTCACAAGAATGGGTTTTAAACTGTGAGTTGCTGGAATGTATTTTCTTCGTAAGTCTAGGGTTTGATGGTTTGGGCCTATTATCCCATTTCTTTAAAACAACACAGATAATTTAAGATGGTGTGCTTGTGTGCACCTACGCGCACGGGTGTGTGTGTGTGTGTGAGAAAGAGAGAGAGCCTTGTGACCAGGGTCTTTTTTTTTTTTTTTTAAGATTTTATTTATTTATTTGACAGAGAGAGAGACAGAGAGAGAGCACAAGTAGGCAGAGTGACAGGCAGATGGAGAGGGAGAAATAGGCTCTCCGCTGAGCAGGGAGCCAGATGTGGGGCTTGATCCCAAGACCCCAGGATCATGACCTGAGCCGAAAGCAGCCGCTTAACGGACTGAGCCACCCAGGCGCCCACAGGGACTGTTTTATATAAGTGAAAAATTATTTAAGTAAAATATACCTTGAGCTCACATTTCATTAATACTAGAGATACCAGTTCAGCCAATAAAGGAAATCTCCAGGATTTTACGTTATTCAATAAATAAAACTTCTACTTAAGCTATGTCAATTAAAAAGATATTCCTCTGCCCCTTTTCATTATATGAAACAACAACAGCAAAAACATATAAATACTTGTTGAATGGTGAGCGTGTCCCGGAACATACTAGATTATCATCTCTTTTCCTTCTTTTCAGAGCAAAAGGCTGAGCTATGATAGCAACCGGTGGAGTGATAACTGGCCTGGCCGCCTTGAAAAGGCAAGACTCTGCCAGGTCGCAGCATCATGTGAGCCTCAGCCCATCGCCTACTGCCCAAGTGAAGAAACCCGTCAGGCGGCGGCCTCAGGCCGATGTCGTGGTGGTTCGAGGCAAAATCCGGCTTTATTCCCCATCTGGTTTTTTCCTCATTTTAGGAGTGCTTATCTCCATTGTAGGAATTGCAATGGCAGTCCTTGGATATTGGCCCCAAAAAGAACATTTTATTGATGCTGAGACAACACTGTCAACCAACGAGACTCAGGTCATTCGGAACCAAGGTGGCGTGGTGGTCCGTTTCTTTGAGCAACATCTGCATTCTGACAAAATGAAAATGCTTGGCCCTTTCACCATGGGGATTGGCATTTTCATTTTCATTTGTGCTAATGCCATTCTTCATGAGAACCGTGACAAAGAAACCAAGATCATACACATGAGGGATATCTATTCCACAGTCATCGACATCCACACGCTGAGGATCAAGGAGCAAAAGCATATGAATGGCATCTACACTGGTTTGATGGCAGACGCAGAAGTAAAGCAGAATGGGAGCTCCTGTGCCTCGAGACTGGCAGCAAATACCGTTGCCTCTTTCTCGGGTTTTAGGAGCAGTTTTTGGATGGACAGCTCTGTCGAGGAGGATGAACTTGCGCTAAACGAAAATAAGAGTTTGGGGCATCTCATGCCACCTTTGCTTTCGGACAGCTCCGTCTCTGTCTTTGGCCTCTATCCACCTCCCTCCAAGACAACAGATGATAAGACCAGTGGCCCTAAGAAATGTGAAACCAAATCAATTGTGTCATCGTCCATCAGTGCTTTTACATTGCCTGTGATCAAACTTAATAACTGTGTTATTGATGAGCCCAGTATAGATAACATCACTGAAGATGCTGAGAACCTCAAAAGTAGGTCAAGGAATTTGTCAATGGATTCCCTCATGGTCCCTTTGCCCAATGCCGGTGAGTCCTTCCAGCCAGTCAGCATGGTGTTCCCAAGGAATAATTCCATTGGGGAGTCATTGTCGAGCCAGTACAAGTCTTCCGTGGCCCTCGGACCCGGGGCTGGACAGCTCTTGTCTCCTGGGGCTGCTAGAAGACAGTTTGGGTCCAACACATCTTTACATTTGCTCTCGTCACATTCAAAATCCTTAGACTTGGACAGGGGTCCCTCCACCCTAACTGTTCAGGCAGAACAACGGAAACACCCAAGTTGGCCTCGGTTGGATCGAAGCAACAGCAAAGGATACATGAAACTAGAGAATAAAGAGGACCCCATGGAGAGGCTGCTTGTGCCCCAAGCTGCGATCAAAAAAGACTTTACCAATAAGGAGAAGCTTCTCATGATTTCAAGATCTCATAACAATTTGAGTTTTGAACATGATGAGTTTTTGAGTAACAACCTAAAGCGGGGAACTTCTGAAACGAGGTTTTAATGTTCAAAAATGTATCATTTTACAAGGCTATATATTTTAAAACTATTTTCACCAGTGTTTCCATGTTAAAGTATGGGTTATAAGCCTTTTTAATCAAATAGTCTGTAGTGGGTTAGACCTGGTTGCTTAATTCTGTGGTGGAGACGGCTGTATGTTTGGGTTACTTATGATTGCAAGACTTTCTATGATCACACATGATTTTATATTCTCCCTTCCTTTGAAAGCAGTATCTCTTCTATCAATATGAACACAGAACACTTCCATCTCTACTAAAATTCCCTTTCTTTACTTTCAAGTTCTTTCACTGATGGTCATCTGCAAGAATCAAGTGTCCAGTTAGGAAAAGGTAGGGTACCAAAGTGCGGACTCGAAGTACCAAATTTAGGCCCAAGACTCAATATAAACTTATAAATGAGCATGAGTACAAATCTAAGGTGTGATTTTCTAAACAACTGCTTTTTTTTTTTTTTTTACAAAATTGGTTAAATTATTTAAAAGGAGAAAGATCTAGTTTCTGGGTGTGCTAAATAATGTGAATTGGTGAAATTGGTTTAGTTCTATGTGAACTAATTGATAGGAATTATTTAGGTTGGTTGTGACTAGTACCCTGAGCTCTGGGTAGGTATATCTTTTTTTATTATTAATTCTATTTTAGTGATATTTTATCAAGAAACCATGTATTCAAGAGCCATGGCTGAGAATGCTAGTTATTCTTAGGGGTAAATATCAAAATGCTATTAGCCATAACTTTAGATATTCAGAATCAAAATTTCTTTGCAACTAACTTGAAAAAGGAATGAACCAATTTAGTTTGTAGGAATGCTATCTTGAAATAATTATATACATGAAGAAGATGTTGATTAGTCACAAAATTACACTATGGGTTAGTTAATGCTAACTAATCTCAGTATCTTTCCTAGCCATCTCTTTTATCATCCAGCATCCATTCATTCCCACATCCTTCTTTCCCCTCAAGATTTTTTAGATCCTGTTCTTTGGAAAATAATCAGCTAACCTTGACATTTCTTTTTATCTTTGTTTATCACTAGCTTGGTGACTCAAGAAAATTTAGTCCTTGACAAATTGCCTTGAAATGTACCTTGTGCTGGAAAGCCTTATGAAGACCCCAAAGACTTTCTTATGGTGTAATACATTTTTGGGATTGTGGCTCTCAATTATTGAAGATAACAAATGTGAAAATGAATGTTTCCATCAGAAAATGTTCATGTTTTCCATTAAGGTAATATTTAATTGTAAGAGATGCTTAATGGAATACTCAGGAAATTTTACAGGTTCTTCCCAATGCCTAACTTTTCTGAGCATCTGTATTATTGCAGCTATTGTGGAAAAGGAGAAGGAAGATATATTTCTGTTCGTAGCTCCCCACAATTCCCCCTGTGTTGGCATCATGAGCTTCCCTGAATTGAGTCAGTGTTACTTGTTAGAACACCAAGCTTGTGTATTTTAATAGAGTGGACTCAATATTTTACTATAAAACATTTAATAAACTTCTGTTCTTAATAGAAATTTGTGTTCTGCCTACATTTGCTATTATTTTTTAAATAAAATATGCAATTCTGTTTAAAGTATTGTTTTTCAAACTTCCAAGATATATTCTACTGAAGGCGCCTGATACTCTAGTGTATGTATTGGGTTCTGTGGCTTTCTTATTTTGCTTCTATTAAAGAGCTAGGTCTAGCCACCTATTTAATTAGGCTATTTTCATATTTGTTCTCCTTGTGTGATGATTAATTTTATGTGTCAACTTGACTGGACTAAGGGATGCCCAGATTTCTAGGTGTGTTTGTAAGGGTATTTACAGAAGAGATTCACATTTTAATCTATCAACTGATCACCAGTGCAGATGGACATCATCTAATCTGTTGAGGGACTGAATAGAACAAAAAGACAGAAGAAGGGCCAATCTGTTCTTTGTGCTTGAGCTGAGACATCTGTCTTCCTGCCCTCAGACATTGGTACTCCTGCTTCTTGGGCCTTTGGATTTGGACTGAGGTTTATTCCATTGGCTTCCCCGGTTCTTAGGCCTTCGGGCTGGGAGTGGAGCTACACCACTACCTCTCCCGGGCCTCTCTAGTTTGCAGATGGCAGATCATGGGATTTCTTGGCCTCCACAATTATGTGAGTTAATGCTTCATAATAAATCTCTCTATATCTATCTATTATCTATCTATCTATCTATCATCTATCTCTATCATCTATCATCTATCTATCATCTATCTATCTATCATCTATCTCTATCATCTATCTATCTATCTATCTATCATCTATCTATCATCTATCTATCTCTATCCTATTGGCTCAGTTTTCCTGGAGAACCCTAATACACTTGGGATCATTTTCACTTAAAATTTCATTGGCTTTCAGGAATACAACCCGGTATATAACACCTAGCAAATGTCAGTGATACTCCCAAGTTTGAAAACAGTGACTCTAAACACCCCTGATGTGACAAATGACGAAAGCCATATAATTTGCTCAATCCACCCCTGAAGAAGCTGTAACAATTTGAAGAGGATTAAACAGCATGGGTCTTAGAGGATTCAAATAAAGGAATTGGGGCTCAAAGCAGTGATTGCTGCTCATCCTTCTCTTCATCAAAAAGTCTGAGCTTTTTATTTCCCAAACAAGTCAGCTTTGTGAAATGATTAACTTTACTTTAAATTAATCAGACACATGTTGCTAATTAAAGCTTCAGATGAATATGAGACAGTGCATGTTACCATGTTGATTTGATGCAATTCTGCGCAAAAGCAATGAAACTTGGAATTTTAGTTAGAGTGCATTTTGTACATTTCCCTTAAGCTTTTATAAATTTTGAAAATTATTTAGGAACTCCCATTTCTTCCTTTGGGAAACTTCAGCTATCTGAACTGTGGGCTAGTTGCCTCTAGTCCAAAGGGTTTGTAAGGCCTGTGGTCTACCTGGGATGTATTAGTTTGCTGGGGTTGCCATAACAGAATACCACAAGCTGGATGACCTAAACAAGAGAAATTTATTTCCTCATAGATCTAAAGGATGGAAGTCCAAGATCAAGGTGTTTGGTTTCTCCTGAGGCCTGTCTTCTTGGCTTACAGAAGGCCATCTTTTCCCTATGTTCTCAAGTGACCTTTCTTCGGCTGGCACATCTCTGGGTCTCTCTTCTTTATGAGCACAGCAGTCCTATTGGATTAGGGCCTCATTTCACCTTTATCATCTTTTTCAAGGTCCTACCTATCTACAAATATGATAACATTCTGAAGTACAGGAGGTTAGGACTTCAACATATGAATTTGGAGGGGAACACAAGCCTGCCTATACCACGAGGTGTGCCTTTGAGAAGTGGGAGAGCTAACTGAATGTTCTTAGCCTAGAGCAGGTAAGAAAAACACAGGATGCCCCCAATGGCTTCACTACCGCAGCTCTGTAGCTTTCAGTAAATCAAAATCTCAATTTCATTTCAATTTAAATTAATTTCTTAATTTCAAGCCTTAGATTCCTCAACTGTGAAGTGAAATGAGTACGAATATCAACAATAAAGCCCAAACTCTAAAGGCTCAGGATTCTTGATGCCCTGGGATGAAGACCCACTGCCTGTCGCTATCTCTGCAGCAGTTTACTTCTCAAATAATGAGGAGAAAGAACCACAGTAGAGCAGAGGGTTTAGACTCGTGGATGTTGGAGCCAGAGTACCAGGATTTGCATTTGGCTCTGCCACTTTCTGGCTTCTGCCACTGTTGAGGCAAAACCATCAGTGAATACCATCTGAGTACCAGCTCCACTCCCTGGCTAGTACAGATTAAATCAGTTGATGCTCATAGAGGATCCACAATGGTTCCTAGCTGGGCACACAGTGAGCATTCAGCATTTCTATTACTATCTGAAAGTGTCACCTGAGAGCTTTCCCACCTTCTTCACCCTAACCACATCCCACCCCCAGATATACTGCAGTGGCACTATGAATAAAGGCCTCCTAAAAATGTTCATGTGCCATTCCCCATAACCTGTGAATGTTACCTTATATGGCAAAAAATCACTTGTAACTCTAACTAAATGAAAGATGTTGAGATGGGGGAGATTATCCTGTATTATTCAGATGGGTCCATTGTGATCACAAGAGTACTCACGAGAAGGAGGCTAAGAAAGAGTTGACTACAGAGGAGATGATGTGATCAAACCAGAGAGAAAATAGAAGATGCTAAGATCCTGGCTTTGAAGATGGAGGGAGGAGCCAGAAGCCAAGAAATGGAAGGAACAAAGCTCTAGAACTGGAAAAAGCAGGGAAATGGATTCTCTCAGAGCCTCTGCAGGAACCAGTCCTGCTGACACCTTGACCTTAGCCTAGTGAAACTGACTTTGGACTTCCCACCTCCAGAGCTGTAAGTGAATAAGTATATGTTATGTTAACTCACTAAATCTGTGTATTTTGTTACAGCAGCCATAGGGAACTAATACATTCCCCCAAACCAAAGGAGCTTTTTCAGAGAAGTGAGCCAGTTGTCAGCAGACTAATAAGCAGGGTGAAATGCATCTATCCCAGGTGATGGCAGGTGGCCCAAAGTTGATGTATGGTCAACATTAAATTTACTTTAACATTGATAATGCAAGTATAATAATTTAGACAAAAGAGGTACTACAGCTTCTTTGAAACAGGAAATATTGACTTTGATAGATAATAAAAAATAAATGGCCAACAGACCCATGAAAAAATGCTCAACATGACTAGTTATCAGGGAATTGTGAAGCAAAACCACAATGAGATAGCACCTTTCACTTGTCAGATTGACTAGTGTCAAAAAGACAAAAAATAACAAATGTTGGCGAGGATATGGAGAAAAGAGAACCCTTGTACACTGTTGGTAGGAATGTAAGTTGACGCAGCCACTGTGGAAAACAGTACAGAAGTTCCTCAAAAAGCTAAAAATGAAAGTTCTGTACATTCTAATAATTCCACTTCTGGGTTTTTACCTGAGGGAAATGAAAACACTAATTCAAAAAGATGTATGTACCCGTATGTTTATTGCAGCACTGTTCACAAGAGCCAAGATATGGAAGCAACTGAGCTGTCCATCAATAGATAAATGGATAAAGAAGATGTGGTATATATACACTATGGAATATTACTTGGCTATTAAAGAGAATGAAATCTTGTCATTTGTGACAAGATGGATGGACCTAGAAGGTATTATTCTGGGTGAAATAAGTTAGACAGAAAAAGGCAAAAAATATATGATTTCATTTATATGTACATCTAAAAAACAAAACCAATGAACAAACAAGCAAAAGCACAAAAACTAGAAACAGACTCATAAATAAAGAGAACAGATTGGTGGTTGCCAGAAGGGAGGGCATGGAGGAATGGGCAAAATAGGTGGATGGTATTAAGAGGTATAAACTTCAAAGTATATATATTCCCATATTTGGATAAGAGTGTATCTTAAACTCTTGGCTTCAAAGCAGCTATCAATTGTAAAAGTTTTCAAAGTCAAATTAGTGTTTCTGTTTATGTAATTTTAGAAGAAACAGTGGTAATATCAGTAAAAAGGAAACTTTTAGCCCAGCTTTGTATCAAAATGGATATTGTACTAGCAATGAACAATTTACTAAAGATAAATTTTTAGTTACTTTCTTTAGCAGTTCAAATTTAACCCTTTTTAATTTATGGAAACATACCATGAATGACTAAAAGAGGTAAAATAAATTTTTAAAAAATCCATCAATTTACCAAAACTTTACCTATAGTGTTTTAAATATGAAAGTCTTGGCCTGCCCAGTGATATACATCCAACCAGATTGTTCAAAGATCTTCAACTATTCTCCAAGTAGCAGCACCATACATAGATTATCCTGCCTCTTAATTCCAAAGAATTGCCCTGTTACCCTTCCCACATGCCATATATAATCCCATCTCAGGCCTTATATCAATAATAATAATAACCGTAATGTTGGATCAGATCCCCATTTAATGATTTAAGTCCTTTGTGATCTGAATTCAAACTGAAGTAATTCAGTTGGTTTCTTTCTATATGCTGCTTCTTTCAGGATGATGGCCTAAGGGGGGAAAACCAACTTCATTCAAGTGCCTTTTACTCACTGATGCCATCTTTTTTATTT